TCCCTACAAAATTATGCAGGAATCATTTCCCTTCATCGCTGAAACATTACAGGTGATTTCATCTCCATATCGAATAAATATTACAGCATTCCAGGAATATACACAAGACACAGCAAAGTATTTTGTCACGCATTATAGCTGGTACTATATGCCAGCATTCGTCCACAAATTACTAATTCACTGTGTTGAAATAGTAAAATACACTTTACTTCCGATCGGCTAATTATCAGAAGAAGCTCTAGAAAGCAGACATAAGAATTTCAATAAATTCACGTATAAAAATACGAGAAAATTTTGAAGATTGAAAACGAAGGAGGACCTACTTCATGGACTCCTCTTGACGTCTTATCCATATACACACATGTATATCCATACCATGAATAAAATGTTCCACTAAAAACAGTAAAAAATTAGATGCAGAAGCTGCAGAATTAATTATTGACTAGTTGTAAAAGAAATATAGTTCAATTTAACTTTTATTTGTTATTGTTTTTACTGTTAAAATATATAATTGTTATTATAATTTCTTTTTCACCTACTTGTAAGTTAACATTGTTAAATTACACAGTCCAAACCTCATATCAATCTTCCCTACAGTTCAAAAGTTATATCAAAATATCACTGGATTTTTCAATTCCGACCACTGTGCGGCGGTATTTGATACGAATCTACTTGTATCGCATTCACCCTGATTATACCTACGATAAAATTCGCAGGAAATGTAAATATCTTTTTACGAATATTATCGAGTTGGTAGGGTCAATACCCCCTCTGGTTGTGACGTACAGCGATTGTACTATCCACGAGTGTCCATGAAATTAATCCGCACATGCACGTACACCACAGAAGCTCGCGAAAAATCTCCACATACACTGCGCGATTGTCCCCTCAGCGAAAAAGTTCACACACTGCGCGATTAATTAGACCCGTGCGCGGTTTCTCCGTTGCATTTACCACTGTACTCGTTACACAAAAATAACACCTACAATAGTTAATTTATAACTACTATTTATACTAATGTTTAACCTACAATAATTAATTTACACTATTTATATTAACCACTGAGCCTACACTACAAAATAATTACTACGTAATCACTAAATAAACTAAAAATTAGTTTTTCGAACACAAACTCTATTTGTTCGACGAATGCAAAGGGCTCTGTTTGGAAAGAACAACTGAAATTGTTGAACTTATCCTCCCTCGTTAAGATTTATATTGCGTAATACAATAGGTCGATCCCCACTCTTCTGTGGTCA